ATTACGTGCTATGAGAGTAAATTTGTTTGTCCAACTTGAGAAGTAAATGTATTGTGGCGACACAATGCAGTCTTGCTTTACAATTTCTTTAAGACTTGATATTACGATCTTTTATAATATAACAATATCTGGCAATTTCAAACTGTCCTTGTCTCTTCTTAGTGATATCAAACAACAACTAGTGGTTTCCTCATCATCTGGGTCCTTGCAATACGACGACTGGTGCTGTATAAAGAGAGTCACATTACCTCTCTCTCGAGGGAGCGTTTTGAATATTAGTCGTGTCAGATTGTTACATATTTTACCTTAAAGTTTGATTCTGACTGCAATGATCTGGCTAATTTAAATAGACGGCATAATAAATATTAATACCATGGATCCCTATAAACGTGCTGGGAACATAGTACAGAGTAAGTTAGGGAAAGTAAAAAAATAAACTGGGTTCCGAACAGGATACATCAAAGGAAAAAAAGAAACCTTATGGAGACTAAGCCTTGATCCTGAATAAAACCGTACGAAATCAAGCTATTGAAAACATGTTCTAGAACAGCACATCTGATTTGGACATTGGCGACAATGATGTATGTATAATCATTTAATATTTTGGCCTGCTTCAAGCGTTCCACCCCATGAGACGAAGGAAAACGAAGCGCGCTTACAGAGTTAAAGTTGGGATATATGGAAAATTGGATGCGATACATGAAAAACAAGAGGTGAGAGATGGGAAACAGAAGGTGGGATTCGGAAGATGGGACTGATCATATGTGTACAACAGTGACTGTATAGCACCGGGTCAGCCTGAAAACCGACGCAGAGAGAAAATGACAAGAAACATTAATTCTTATTTACTTTACTGTAATTTTATCCACCGCTTATACCATTTTTGGGGCCGCGGGAAGAAAAAGACGTCTCTCTGCCACCAGCCGAGAGCTTGGGTCATGGGGATGCCGTGAGCTGTTAATATTTCCCTGTTTCCATCTATCCAGGTCTGTCTTGGTAGCCCTCTAGCCTTGTTGCCATCGAATTTTTAAAAATGTATAGGCACGTTGTGCTGGGTGGTGAGTTTGTAATCGCATGAGATGTTCGAACCATTTGATTCTTTGGTGTTGGATGTGATACATCATGCATGATATCATTTGTTCCCACCATTTCTCTGATTACTGTGCTTCTAATTTTGTCTCGCCTGGTCTTGTTTACTGCTTTTCTAAGGCATCGCATTTCACATGTTGTAATTCTTTGCTCTAATGTCTTCTTCGTGGTCCATGTTTGGCATGAATAGGTGAGTGTTGGGATGAATATATGGTGTTGATCATTTTGAGTTTTGTTGTCATGGGGATGTTCGGATGTTTCAGTAGTGGAGTAAGCTGGTTACCAATGTTATTGGCCTTTTGTACTCGTCTTTCAATTTCTCTGTTCAGTGAATATACTTCCGAGGTACTTAAATTCTTGGATCTGTCTGAGACTTGTTGTTGTTGATGTGTATCCTGAGCTTTCTGCTTACTCTCATAATTGTCCCTGTTTTGTTGATGTTGATCTTCGTGTCATAGTTGTTACATTCTTCGTTTAATCTGGTGGTATGGCGTTGGAGACTTCGTTCATCTTTGTGTGCCAGGCTTTGGTCTTCAGCGAAGAGTAATTCATTTAGGGCGTCTGGTTCTGTGGTGGCCTCTTTTGTAATTCTATCCATGTATATGATAAATAGTAGTAGTGATAGAACACAACCTTGTCTTACTTTATTTGTACTTTTTTCTTCCGCTTGTACCGGTGGGTGTCGCGGGGGAGACACAGGCGTCTGTCTGCAGCAAGGCGAGTGGCCTGTAGGAGGGACATCCCGTGAGCTCTGAGGGTGTCTGCCACAGATTCACTCCATCGTCGCCTTGGTCTTCCCCTGGCTCTCCATCCAGAATATTTAATATTTACCAGCAGACTGGCAGAATGCGATAGTAGTGCCAATATGAAAGAAAACGGGCAGCAAGAAAGACTGCAACACCTACAGAGGCATATCTCTTCTCAACCATGCGGGGAAAATTTATGCAAAGATCCTAGAGCGACGCACTCGCGCAAAAGCCGAACATCTTCTCAGTGACGCCCAGTTCAGTTTAAGAAAAGAAAGAGGGTGCACTGATGCAATCCTCAGTGACATAAAGTCACACCGTACTTCACCTAGACCCAGCTATCCCCAACTTTGTCCCGTTTCCATCTTCCACGGCGTGGACGAGGGGTTGGACTTCGAGAGGGTCGTATGCTGTTCTCGTAAATGGCACGGATATTATCTAGAAGTTGGCCTCTTACAGTAGTGTAGTTTTCGAGTTCTTTCCAAAGCTAGTTTCTGTTCACTCTGTCGAACGCATTCTCCTGGTCGACAGATACTAATTTAGTTCTTATTAATTCTTAATTATTTTTATTACAACCCCCCCCCCCCCCCCCTCTCTCTCTCTCTGTCTGTCTCTCTCTGTCTCTCTCCCTCCCTCCCTCTTTCTCCCCCTCCCTTCTCTCTTTCCCTCCCTCTCTCTTTCTACCCCCTCTTCTCCCTCTCTTCCCCCTCTCTCTCTTTCTACCCCCTCTTCTCCCTCTCTTCCCCCTCTCTCTCTCTCTCCTTCTTTCTCCACCACCCCCTTCTCTCTCTCTCTCTCTCTCTCTTTCTCTCTTTCCACCCCCCCTCTCTCTCTCTCTCTCTCTCTCTCTCTCTCTCTCTCTCTCTCTCTCTCTCTCTCTCTCTCTCTCTCTCTCTCTCTCTCTCTCTCTCTCTCTCTCAGACACACACTCACTGTCCGCAGACAAAATTGCTCACGTTCAACGTTTGTTTACGCTCCTATCACGGGCCGTCACGCGCCAGCACAAGGGAACGCCCAAGTCGCGCGCGGAGGCGAGATAGAGAAATTGAAACATCTTGGTATACACGATCTTTGGTCTTGGGATCTCTGGGCTATTTTCGGCTTGTTTTGGCGCTTGGATTTCTCCGCCTGCAGTCGGGGGTAACAGCAGGAGAAATGTGCTGTCAACGCTCGTTGTATATTTAGGATCCATCAACGTCAAGCTGCAATTGGGCCAAGAGGCCTCGCCTGAGACACATCTCGCCTACGCCTAATCAGAACTAGTAAACTGTTTCTGTTTCCTGCGTTCCTGTTCTCAAAACATCGACTGTCCTCTGTTAATTTCTTTTCGTGAAATTTTTAGTGTCTTCCCGTGGCCAAATATAATTTTTTGATTCGTCCAAATAAACTATAGATCTATAGGCCTATCAGGCCTACAAACATGTAATAAGCAGTATTAAGCAGTTGCGGTGGGTGGACCAAAATTGCTTCCACTTCTTTACCACCAAATAATGAATAATAAGAACTAAATAGTGATGATTTTCTACACTCACGGCGAGCCACAGTATTCGGAGAACCTTTCAAACGAGAAGAGAGTCACCTTTATCTTCCATCGATCTCTGTTCTAAGTTACATTTTTTTGAATGGTGGAGACGAAGCTGTTTCCCCTCCAAATTTCTCTAATTAATTTTCATCTAATGAAAAAGTTGCTTAAAAGTGGTTTGATTTGATTTATAACTGTTAAATCTTATCAGCACAAACACAAACCTGTGGGTGGTTGGCGGATGCTCTAGTGCAGTTCACTCATTCTTTCCTATCAAACATCTATCGTCCTTATCTCTCCTCCTTCTTTTTGTGTATGTTACTCTCTAGTAAAACCTCTATTCTTCGGCACTTATATGGCCTTATTGTGTTGCAAGTGCCGTAAAACTCTTTCTAAAACTAAACTAAAAATACAAACATGCACCCACAGCACTTCAAACACTCTATGAACTGGATTAGGCCGTGTGGTCGTGGAAGGAAAGTAGAACCCACCAAACAAAGGTCCAATGAGCGCATAAGTAACTGTGTCACTGGGGGAAAGTGTCTCATAAATGTTCACCCCATTGTCAAGGCTAGGAGAGAGTGAGTCCTCTGTGCAGTGTTCTTTTTTTCCCAAATCTTCTACCTTTTTACAAGAAGAGTTTCATTAAGGAAGGGCAGTGGGAACGGGCTCATACTATATGCTGAGCCATAAAGACATTTGATTAGCTGTTAGGTTACTATAGTTTAAGTGATGACAACAATGATTAGATAGACGAGCAAGCTGCTATAAAGTTGATCACTCTTTTGTTCATTGCGTGCGGTCATAACGGTTTCAACTGCTCATTTAGTTATTTATGAAACTTTCATTTGCACTGGGATAAGGTCTTATTTTTAAAAAATATAGTAGAGCGTTTTTCGGCGCTCGCAACTGCATAAGGTCATATGAGCGCCAAGGGGTGGGTGTCAACAGAGAAGTCTTTACAGGGACTTAGACTGTTCATCTCTCTAGTTTCAACAACACAAGGTCTGCTTCGACTATCTAGGCACCCCAAAATAGCAGGTCACAAGAGAGTGAAAGAAGTAGATGAAAATGACAATAGTAAGGATCAGGAAAGAAAAAGCAGCAGTTCCCTGTTGTAGATCAGGCACAGTTATGAGCGTGGCATGAGTCAGCCCATTTACAATTTTACTATGCTTGAACGAGAAATGTCCCCCCTTTGGGAATGGCCTAAAGACACTTTAGTCAGTGGCACTGCCCCGTGGGGTGGGGATGGGGCTCAAGCCCTCGAGCCCTTCACTACCCACCACCACTGAAGGCCTATAGGTCTCAACATTATAATATTGGCTTAGGCTGCAATAGGGCCTTAGGCCAACTCAACTGAGCAGTGCTTTTCTGTCAACCCACCTCGAGATCTCTCCCCCCCCCCCTTTTTTTCCCCACCTCTTAGGTTAGGCCTACATAAAAAAACACCCCAGAACGAGTTATATATTCTATATATTTATTGGTGATTTATTTCTCATTAGGCCACACAGGCGTACAGCTGGAATATAAAATTATTAAAATGGATCTTATTCCTAACCCGTACGTGCCCTCCTCATAAAAAGAGGAAGTGAATTTTTGGATCCCGAGAAGTGATTTCGGGGAGTTGGTAGGCTTAGCCCTTCTGCAGTGTAAACAGATCCCTGGAAGCTTGTGCCTGTGTTCTGCCACAATCTGCGTTCTCCCATCCAGCTTCGATTCCTGTCGGTCGGCGACGCTAGTGTGCCCTAAATTCTAAATTAGCCGCCGAAAGCCAAAGCCGTTTTAGAGGTGCACTGCAGTTCTGTTGCCTGTTTGCCGAAATTTGTTACATCATAGCCAGCCTGGCACTCAACTTTATTGTTTTTCAAGCAAAGGTAAGTAAGATAGAGGGCTCTTTTACTTTCACTTTTTGTTTATAAATCTTCCGAACACCCGCTCTGTCACACCAGAAACGAAAATGCTGGCAGGCCTGGAACAGCTGCCTTTGTATTGTGAGATTTTAAAAAGAGGGTAGATCTAGAATCTAGATCTAGAGATCTAGAATCTAGATCTAGATCTAGAATCTAGATCTCTAGAATCCTTTGGGAGGACTTCCGAAACGAGCGACCCCACTCAACCGGACCACTCGTAGATAGATATAATACATTGTTCGAGAATGTGGGGTGGGCGGGGCGGGTGGAGGAGGGTGACGGGGTGGGCGTAGGGGGTTCAGCTGACAAAATTTTATGAATAGATCTACGGGTCCTAGATTCTCCATTGAGAGAATAAAAACTGGGGAAAATCATGAATTCCTAAGGTTGAGACATAGGCAAAGTCAGTCCACTGGTCCGGTATTCTTCAATCTTACCTTAGGGCCTGCCACTAGACTAGTGTGGGCTACCCCTGGTAGATTTATAATTATATAATAATGACATCAGTCAGTGAACATAATGACATATCTGGCGTGTTTGTTTGCGAAAAAGGCCGAGTATAATTATAATCGAAGTGTATACAGACCCGGTAACCGGGAACAAAGTCTCGAAGTATACAGACCCGGTAGGGGAACTCTTACTTTTGTGATTTCGGAAAGTTTCAGCGCCCAGACCCGGTAGAGATCTAGTGTGTGTGTGTGTGTGTGTGTGTGTGTGTGTGTGTGTGTGAGAGAGAGAGAGAGAGAGAGAGAGAGAGAGAGAGGTGCTAGCAAAATGTATGAAATGCCCCAGTTGGCAGGAGGGAACGAGAGAAGGATAGAGTGGAAAAAAGGTGGGGACAAAGAAAGACAGAGACAAACAAAGAAAAAGAAAAGGCGAGCGATACACAGAGGAGAGAGAGAGAGAGAGGCAGAGAAATAGATAGGGTGGCTGCTCGATTGAAATTATGACATTGTTCTTTTCTTCAAATTGCGATTCCTCCTACTCCAAAACGGAGGAAAAACGATAGTTCATCAAAAAGACATCCGCAATCTATTCTAGATCTAGGCTAGCCGCGAAACTAGATCAAAGATTTATGTCTGTCTGCCTATATCTAGATCTAGACCTAGGCCATAGATATCTAGAAGAACCTAGGTCAACTCTGAGCCAAGAGGGTGCTATAACTCTCCGAAATCACAAAAGAGTTCCCCTACCGGGTCTGTATACTTTGTGACTTTGTTCCCGGTTACCGGGTCTGTATACACTCCCAATTATAATTTTAACTTTGCCGTCCAGTCATTTGACATTCCAACGATGGCTCTGTAGAAGTGTCACAGTTTTTCTGGCATGTTCATGATGTTGTCACTAGGGCCTAGTTGACACCATTATAATATTTATAGAATTACCAAGCAAATATTACACTGCGTTATGATCTAGATCTAGATATCTAGATTAGTAAATTTCTTTGTCCAGCTTAAAAAGTGGACGTATGGCGACATTTAGTCTTCCTGTACAATTCTTTTATGAATTACAAATTATCATCATCAATTCAGAGGGACAATGATATTTTAAAGAATCAACAAATATGAAAACAAACACCTAACTTTACAGTTTTTATAATTTGTGGTAACCTGTGCAGTCATCACTGTCAACGATGCTTCACAACTGATCATCACCCATAACTCTGTATTACAATACACAAGTGTAAGAGAGAATCTAACAAGGAGGCATACCATTCGTCGTTTTTGCGTACATGATGGCATGGCTCATCTGCGGCCGTGCAGTGTAAGGGAGAACAAACAGTAAACTATACTTTGATCTTTTCAACCTAAACAATTCAGACTTTTTAAAACAGGTCTGATGAAATATAAAGCTTAAAAAGTAAAAAAACAGAAGTGTCATAAATAAAGTTAATTTTAGAGAACGTTTTTTGCTTCTTTTTAAAAATTTGCCTTGCTGCTACCAGCACAGGTCCTGTTGTCTTTTTTCCTCTCGACGGCAGACCTCATTGTTCGTCTTTTTTTTATTTCCAGCTAATTCTGGCCATTCTGCAGAGAATATGTGCAGAAGAGTGAGAGAAAAAAAAAAGAGTCGTTTTGTATCTCTATCTTGAATAATTTAAAAGTCGAGATATACTTGCGATTGAAGATCGTGTAGTTGCCTACTTTCAGAGGTTTAAAGTAAGTCAACAAGATCTGTCACGACGCAGTGGAATCAGGTGCTCATCAATTTTTGGGCGTATATGGAGTTTTCGGTATCATCTTAAAGGTTGTCCATTTGCTTTGCTTTCCGTGAAAAAAATATCCGTTTATCTTTAGACAGAAGTCAAGATATTTGCGACTGAAGGTGTTTGGTGACTTCCATAGCTTAACTCATTCGCTACGTATTTAATAATTGGCTTGTGGACAAATTTTTTTTCGGGAGGGTGAATGAGATGATGACTAGTGGGCAGTTTTAAAAGGTCTTTGGGGCCACAAATTCAATTAAATATCAACATATATTATAAACCAATATTTTCAGTATGCTTTGTAGAATATATCTGTAATGTTCATTTATGAATTTTTCAACTTTGGTACCTGTAAGAGACGATTATGCAACACAATTTTGATTGGATGCGGATAAAAATTTTGGAAATAAAATATAATCTTTGATGAAACTCAAAAAATATGTTTGCACCTAGTCAAATGATACATCAAAATAACCATAAATGAATATATATATAGAACTGGAAAATATTGAAAAGTTTGCAGTTATTTACCTACATTCCATAATTTTTGTACGTTATTGAAAAAAAAATTATTTTTATAATCTTGAAAAACATCACTAACAGAAAAAAAACCCCACTCGTATGTTATATGGAATTATTATTATTCAGAATTGCATTTGGAATAAACCTATACATGTCTTGAGTGGCACTTTTTGTGTAATTTCATCAAAAAGTAGTGATTTTGGGGAGAAAACAATATTTTGACAATTTAGAAATATCTAGAATTAGATCTAGCACTCAAAAATATTGATTTCTCAATAACAGTGCCTTGGCAATATGAGCCCAATTGTCAGGGTTGGTGATTTTTTTGATTTTTTAAATAAAAATTTAAAAAATCGATTTTTTAAATTTAAATCAGATTTTTTTTATTTTTTAAATTTAAAAAAAAATGTCGACACAGTTTGGGATTTTTGGTGGCTAAAAGTAAGTTCTTTTAGTGCAAAATGCATTGTCTTTATTTTAATTAATGATTGATTTAAGCAACTGCAATTTTAGAAAGCTTTAATCTGCTATATCAGTGAATTATGGCTACAGACAAAAAATGAAGAAAATGTCAGTCTAAAAGGAAGGGGGGGGGGGGGGGGTAATTATGTATAGATAAACTTGCATTTTGTTACAGTGTGTGTGTGTGTGTGTGTGTGTGTGCGCGTGCTTGTGTTTGTCTAAAAAGAAAAAGAAAATGCTAATTTCAATTATGAAAAAAAAAGTAAATTGAATACGGTATTATTTTACTACTTACAGTGACAGGGGGGAAAGCAGACTTTTAAGCATGATTATTTTAGTCTACTGAACCTTATATCTGTTTTATAAAACCAAGGAAAGGAATTCTGAATGTTTAAAGATGTAAAAACAGAATACATTTTTAAAAAGTGATTTACATCACCGAGTTTTATTTTTAAAATCAAGTTGATTTAAATGTAAAAAAATCTACTGATTTAAATCGACCCAACCCTGGTTTTCAATTATGAAAAAAAAGTAAATTGAGTACTGTACTATTTTATAGTGACACTGTTTTATAAAACCAAGGAAAGGAATTCTGAATGTTTAAAGATGTAAAAACAGAATAAATTTTTTAAAAGTGATTTAAATCACTGAGTTTTATTTTAAATATAAAAAAAATCAACTGATTTAAATCGACCTGATTTAAATCAATCCAACCCTGGTTTTCAATTATGGAGAAAAAAGTAAATTGAGAACTGTATTATTTTACAGTGACAGGGGGGAAAGCAGATTTTTAAGCATGATTATATTAGTCTACTAAACCTTATATTGTTTAATAAAACCAAGGAAATGAATTCTGAATGTTTAAATATGTAAAAACTGAATACATTTTTTTGAAAAGTGATTCAAATCATTGATTTTTATTTTAAAAATCGAGTTGATTAAAATTAAAAAAATCAACTGATTTAAATCTACCCAGCTCTGATTTCAGTTATGGAAAAAAAAAGTAAATTGAATACTGTATTATTTTACAGTGAAGCAGACTTTTAAGCATGAATATATTAGTCTACTAAACCTTATATCTGTTTTATGAAACCAAGGAAAGGAATTCTGAAAGTTGAAATGTGTAAAAACTGAATAAAAATAAATTTAAAAAAAAGTTATTTAAATCACTGATATTTAAATCACTGATTTTTATTTTAAAAATCAAGATGATTTAAATAAAAAAAATCAACTGATTTAAATCAACCCAACCCTGCCAATCGTATCAATATTATAAAAAAGAGTCCTACATTTCTTTAGTGGGCAAAATAATCATAGACTTTGTTGTGTAAGATTACTAAGACTGGTGTCCGGGCTATAATTTTGGCATCGCGATAAAACAGTCGAATAAACTACAAAATCGCGTTTCAAAACTGAATCTAAATTTCCGACTTTCAGTGGAAATGCTTGACCCGGAAGTCAACATTATATTATGACCTTTATTTTTACATGGATATGTGGATTGGAATAGAATCAAAGCTAAAACTGAAGATCGGTTCTCGAGCCGCCGGGGGCGGCTTAGCGTACTGACGGCACATTAGCTGCGCCGCCCCCCACGGCTCGGCGTAGCGAATGAGTTAAGAATCCTTGGAAACTGCAAATTAAACATTTTTTGTGCCTTTAATCACATTTTTTCCATTAAATCCATCACATAAAAATGTTTTTGAATTCACATACAACAAGGTGTTGAGCCAAAAAACAAAATTTGAAAAAAATGTCCAAACTGACAGAAAAATGCAGATTTCTCGGATTTCATTATTTTGACGAGCGCCTCATTTCACCACGATGCCTCACAATGTGTTCTAACATGTGTTGTGTGTTGTACTTTTATTTTCACAGTAAATCATGGACATCAATATCAAGCTCAACGTGGCAATGCTGATTGCTGTGGTGGCAGTTGAAGCCATCTCTATGGTCTGGTATGCCCACGGATCTCCATGGGGACGCAGAGTTGGCGACCGCTACTTTATCACTGCCATTGTGTGTGACATTGGCTTGGTCGTTATCCTGAAGTTTATTATTGAGTAAGTCATTATTGCTACTTAGATGTTAAGCTTAAACAACTGAACAAATTGCAAAGTGTATTTTCCAAATGGTTTTGGGAACTGTTGTGAAACAAATTTGTTCGCCTTGTCTCATGATGAGCAAATTCTCATTTCAGCTATTGTGCATATCATTGGCCTTGTTGTTAAAGTCAAAGGCTCAAGTCCAGCACTTGTTCGTTTATCTTGGACTTAACGAAAAAAAATACCCATTTACCTAGAATAGAAGTTGAAATATTTTGTGATTGAAGGGGGAAGGGGTCGCCTGGTATCAGTTTTTTAATTAATTATTTTGTCGACCGCCTGATTTCACCACGCTGCCTCGGATATGAATTTTTGATGTGTCTAATATTTTCTCTTGTAGATCGAACCTACTCTAACGACCAACTATCCAAGACAGTAACCTGTAGCAGGATGCAGACGGTCACTTCCTACTTTTCCTCTTGCTTTCTTTCCATATATTCTTATGACACCGTCCACGAAGACAACCTGTCTGAGATGACTACTTTTCTCCTCGATAAAAAGATAGAAGGATGGATAGTATGTGTGCGCCTTGTTTGGTGTTGAAGCAAGAAAAAGGAATCATGAGTGTTGCTGATCATGAGTCTTATGAAGAAAATAAAATTGCTCTTGTTAGATCATGATCATGACAATGTAATGAACAATGGTCTGAGCATACCACCCACCTCGCTTGTGTTAGTACTGTAATCACTTCCCGATCCATGCCTTCACATTTAAACAACCGCACATACACATACACATGCACATGAACTCACAAACACAAACATAATTCACACACCATAGGGCTCAATGCAGCGCCACACCATCTGTCTTTGATCACACTCCACCACCCAGCACCCACCCTCACATGACTGGATTCAAGGAAATTTTAGTGCCTTACACACCAGACAGGCTGTGTGTGATGACCCATTTTGATACCAACAGGGTGTGTATCAATATTATGCTGTATGTTTTTGTAGAGGAGGGATGGGCAAGCCTGGTGGGCTGTCTAATCTGATAGTCTCACTCTCAATGACGATGGATGAGTTTTTTCCACAGTGCATAAAGGCAATTTGAATTTGACACAATTGTGAGGAAAATTTTTTGGGGGGTTTTTAGAAGCGAGTTGTTTGACAAATTTGTATGGATGCTTGAGAAGTTAGGGAATGGCGTATTGTGCGAGCTATCCGTGATTTGAGTTTTTTTGAGTGTTTGTGTTGTTTATATTATGCCTGATGGTATAAGAAAAAATTTGGACCTGAAATTCTGTTCGCCATGCGCATGCTCATTATATACGTGTGCTAGACAGTATTTTGACAGCTTAGTGTAAGGCTCTGCCATATGCCAGTTTGAAAAGAGATGTAGGAGAAAGTTTTATGATGAGCAGACGATTTGAGCTTGGTATTTCAAATATTTTCTGTGTGTGGTTGGGGGGCACTCTTGTATGGTTTGCTCTTTTTTTCCTACTATAATCAAACTACTGTCATCCTCATCTTTCCTATTTCTTTACATTGTATTTTGTATTTAACACTCTAGTAACATCTCTGATCTTTGACAATTACATGAACCATTTGTGTTGCAAGAGCCATAACACTTCATATCTTCCATCCAGCAACCTCATCTTTCCGATTTCTTTACATTGTATTTTACACTCTAGTATCACCTCCAATCTTCTGCACTTTCATGGCCTGTTTGTGTTGCAAGAGGCGTAAAACTCTTACTAAAACTGAAAAAACAAATTTTTCTTTCCTATCTTCCATCCAGCAACCTCATCTTTCCTATTTCTGTACATTGTATTTTACACTCTAAGATAGTAACACCTCTAATCTTCGGCACTTACATGATCTATTTGTGTTGCAAGAGCCGTAAAACTCTTACTAAGACTGAGTAACAAAGTGTTTTCTTTAATATCTTCCATCCAGCAACTTCTGGTCAGTGCACAAGTGGGAGGACGCCATGTTCCTGTCCCTGTGGCTGACTTTGCTGTTCCTCTGCCTGCAGGCCCCCCACGTGGTGCACAACTCCGACAGCTTCTACTACTGCTTTGTTCACGCACTGCACAAGTTCACCATTCTGTTTGCTGTCAGCTTCTGTCTGGTACATTTCAAGCACGTCTGAACCTTGGAGCAATGTTGACACAGCCATTTTGTCTCTAAAAATGAGCTTGAACCCTGTAAAAATGAAATTGTCTTAAGTTCTATATTTGAGAAAATAAAACAGTTTGATTGTTTTACTTATGTTATTCAGAATTTTACCACTTTCACTAAATGCACCAAGCATAAAAATCCAGACAAAATATTAGAAAAATTGAGCAACTTAAAAGATTTCGAAGAAACATTTAATTTTCAATAATTATTTTCTCAAAACGATTGTAATGGTACTTAAAACAATTTGGTTTTCAAGGGTTGGTATAGGATTTTAGATCTTCCATAATATTACAACATCCATGCTTTCCCTTTTGTTAAAATATGATGTAGAAGAGGGAAGGGTTTTATATAACTGGAATTTGAGACACTGTGACAGTTGGCATTAATGTTAATTGAGAGAGTGAAATTTACCGCTTTAACTTCTTTGATTACTTGACTGTCTGCTCTATTTGACTTTGCCCTTGACACTGTCTATCTGGCAAATAGAATTTTTCTTTATTTCATTGCTGATAATTTTGTGCGGATCCGCTGATTTCCACTTTTTTTTTTGTTTCCAAAATATTACTACAAAAGTAAGGTATGTGTTATATTATTGTAGTTAGTATTAGAGTTCTATGTTGAAATTTCGGTGTATTGCAACGGGGTTGGAATATTTTCCTCTTTTTTTTACTTTTTCTCATTATGAGCCCTGTTATTTAGAAAACGAGCAGAATAAATTGTGAAGGCAGAAATTATGTTTTTAGCTAGTTTTAAAAATTCAGATTTTACGGAGAGGCTCAAAAGGCCTAGTTTTTTAAGAACAGATTTTGTGATGAATATGGACTTTTATTGCCATTGCCAGCAGCCTCTAATGATACTAGTATTATGGCTTTAGTTTGTTTTCACATAAAATTATACTGTACTTCAATACGTGAATAGAGAAAAGTTCCCATTTATGATTTCTAATTATCACTAAAATGATTAGGGAAGATGGACTGTCAGTTATCAAATAAAGAATGTAAGAGACATGTTTTTCAAATATTGCCATGACATATACAGCAACTATACCTCTGTTTTACCTTGAATATTTTTTTGTCCAATGATATTTGTAGGTGTATAATGTACTTATAATACTCTTAAAAAGGACATAATCTTACTAAATGTAAATCACTCGAATTGCTTACTTTAAACTGATGCGCATATAGTAGTCATGTCTGTTTTCATTGTGAAGGGCATTAATGGAAGCGAAGAGCAACGCATTGTTACTGCTTTACTGCTGTTACTTTTGGATCTGACACCGTACTTGTAAAATACCCATAATACAAAGTCCTTTATTTTTCGTGATCTGCTTTTGATGAGGATGCCTTGGCGAATTTTACAATGTTTTTGTATTGGAATTATTTTGTAAAAACATTTTTCTGAAAGTTGACTGGACATTAGCAGTTCCCAGTAGACTGGCTTACTTCCCCATCATGATATTAAAAAACCCAACTACCTGAGAATCAGTTGATATTAATTTGTCGCTGTAAAAAAAAAATAGGTACATTAATTAACTATTCAGTTTTCAAAACTTAACTTTCATCTTTATGTATCATACATAGAAGTTTGTGTATTTTCAAGTTCTTAGACTAATAAGTATTTGTATCATTATGATGATATTAGAAATATTCTCTATCCATAACTTTCATTAGGAATGTGATATATACTTTTTTCCTGTATGTGCAATGACCATTAATATTAGTATCATTTTCATATATTTGAAATGGTTTTTATATTGCCAAAATGGGATGGTTTAGGTCTCAATTGGCATCTTTAGTGTAATAGTTAGGTTCTTCGTTTTTTTATTAGCTAAAGACACGATTTGAATGCGGAGAAATAAAATATCGAGTTTCTTGGTCAGTTTGCTAGGATGCTATATATTCCCTCTCGGCGCAGGATAGCCCTCCCGACAAGCTGAGTCAGAAACAGCTTGACCAACAAATATCTCAATTTGATTGACGGGGGTGGGAAACATTTGAAATTTCGAAGGAAAAAAGCAAAAATGAAGGTCTTACTCCTGTATGTTGTATGGTGAAATGTGTTGTTACTAGTTGTCCAATTATAAAAGCAACAAGTTATATATGTAGTGACCCGTATGATTTTTCTCTTACATTATCTTTTTTTTGTGGGGGGGTTTTTTTCATGTGTTGATGGAATGAATATCTTTGTTAAGACAATCATATTCTTGTGGGGTCAGGATCCTCGTAGCCACTATTTCTATTCTTTAGACAATTGTATTACACGAACATAACCTTTGATTTGCTCATGTTGTATTTGTAACGAATACAGTATTCTTGCTCAAATTGGTGTCTATAGTGTGAAGGTTACAAAGTCAGTTTTGGCCGTGATGGTCAGGTTTGAAGCAGCCACCCCTCTAAATGCTGTAATTTGAAATGATGGGACATAAAACATTATGTCATTAATCTTTTGCTCTCTAGAAATCCAGGAATTAAAGGGGATGTATTACTCTTAAGTAGTTGAAGTTGAAGTATGGGGAAATACTTCCTTATTAGCGTTGTTCCAGTTATGCCACAAAGATCTTCCTACTATAAGTGATATTATCCCATACATGTTACATTTGCTTTCTTTTTATGGCAAATAACATAAAAGAAAAACTTCCTAGATATAGTGTAATTACTGTCGTATGTTTGGAAACCATTGAAATTTTTTCAAAGTGAAAACTAGTTTAACTTTGTTAACGTTATTCATGCTTCCCAGAAAAGAGTTGTTCTGTATAATGTTAGTTTTTAGGTGAAACATAATTAAATGGCATAATACCTACTTCCATAAAAACTTATTTTTTCTTTACCATACCGGATACCTCAAAGGTTTAAATAATCATTGTCAAAGTCTACATAATCATTGTATCTAGAATTTTAATTTGTCTTTATAATCTATTTTTACTGTTACCCATTCCATAGTCTACGCATGTTTTTATATAAAGAAAGCCTGTTATTTTTGGAGCTGGTATAGGCAATATATTTATTTTTTCAGAATTTTAAAAACGATTGCTGGTTAATCTGATTGCTATATTTTCTGAGTCGTTGTCCATCGTTACTTTGAGCTATAGCCTTGAAATTAGAAAAGGATTGTTAAATTTACAGATTGGACATTTTTACATGTATGGTTTCAGTAAAAGCTGGAACATGACTTTATACTCGCACCAAAGATCTGAAAGATTTGATATTTGATCATGGAATAAATTTTTTGTTGTTACTCTCCTCAATGTTAACCACGTTATTATTATACACTTATTACAGCAGTTCACATTTTTAACTTTATATTATAAAACCTTTGCATAATAGAACAATAAAATTTTCTTCAGTATAATTTTAATGGGTTTTTTTTTAGTTAATTGAATGAATTGAATTTAATCTTTTGCCCCATTTCAAATGCTGTATTGGTATTGTCTTTGTTTTCGCGCGAGTCCATTTTTTGTTTAAGAAAATCCTGAAACGATCTTGTCTCAAAGAATTGATAGGGAGCTCTCGTGGCCTAGAGGTTACGGTGCTCGCCTCTCATTCAAAGGTCCTGGGTTCGAATCCAGGTAGCGCCGGAAAAATTTTCTTCTCTAAAAAATTGTCTCCTTTCACCTCCTTTCCTTTCTCTCTTATAATGTTCTGTCGTCTGCTTTTGTCTCCACTTTCTACCCCCGTCTCCTCACCTCTTTTGCCCCCTTCTCTGGGCTCCTGACTCTTTCTGCAGCCTTTCTACTGTTTCTCCTTGGCTCTTTCTTACTGCTGTCTTTCAGCCACACCCCTGGTCTTCTAGTAGGAAAGATCTACACCTAGCCTTCTCAGACAAGGGCGAAAAATCTCAGAGGTCCCATTTGCAAGTTCAGCACGTTAAAGATCCCTTGGTGGTCTAAAATCGATAAGAGTGGATTTAGGCTTCGGCCACCATCCGGGCAAAATTAAGAATTTCCTACCAATTGAAAAGGTTTAATGTGTCCCTTGCGCTCATAATATGACCTTATGCAGTTGCGAGCGCCTTAAAACACTTACCAAAATAATAAAAATTTTTAAAAAAAGAATTGGGAAGTCTATTCTGTATTAGTATTACTGTAAAGACCATGGTCGAACCTCAATTATTCTGTGGACGGTACATAATAATATATGCAGGTGTGGCCTAGGAATGAGAATTTGGTTGCAATGAAGGAGTGACAAATTTTTGCATATATATCTGTATTATTATACAATACAGTAATTGTCAGATGTAATTTTCTGTACCTAATGTCAGAATGATTTCTCTCTCTGCTCTTGTTTTATTTTTTCAGGGAAGGGAGATAACCTTTTGAAAACAATTTTGTATACAGTATTTAGAAATTGTTCCCCCCTCTCTCTCGAATTGGAGGCGCAGAAAAAAATATGGTCAGCAGGAGATTGCAATAAGGCATAAAAGGGGACTACAATGTATTAACAATGTAACGAGACATAAGTTTGGGAACAGTGTCCTCTGTGTAAATGGGAGGACCAGGGGTCCACATTTATTGTGATTCCTGATCATCTTCGTTCGACTTCACTTGTCTTGAACTCGCTTGAGTTGATCTTCAGTTAAGTTTATCTTTTTCTTGGGTCCCAGCACCTCTTCTCTTCTGGTCCCAACGGGTTGAACTTCGGAAGAGTTGATCATTTTTTAAACTCATCCGTAATCGACTGCAGATAAGATTGCTCAGAAAACATCCTTTGCAAGTAAAACTTTCTGCCAAGTTATCTTGCCAACAAAATTTCCTCTAAAGGAAAAATCTTGCGTGTTTAAAATTTGATGTAGGCCCTATTGCTGTGGAGGAAGGGGTGACCTTTTGGCAATGGTTGATCATCATCATCATCCTATCCTCGTCTGTGAAATGTTGGACACCTTGATTGGCTTGATGAGCCCCACGTTACTTTGTCATTTTCTGTCTCTCCCTGCTGTGGGGATATGAGATCTGATCCTGTTCCCATCCCATACATTTTTCTTGTTTGCCCCTTCCTTTTTTTCTTTCCATCTTTACTTCCATCATAATTTTCTTCTGATTCAGTTGGGTATTTTTATCCATCTGAAATTACTGAGTTTTTGTGTTTAAAAAATACACAAATATTCTCCAGCAAAGCTTCACACAGAACACGACTGGTCCTATGAATGTCTTGCTAGTACTTTCAAAGTCATCTTCGGAACTGTATCAATTCAAAGGATCAAAATCTGCAATATCTCAGTTCACTGTGAGGCAGAATGACTAACAATAACACAATTATGGGAATAAAGCTTTAAAAAAAATAAAAATCTATAAGCTAGACATAATTTGTTACAGGTTAAGTTGGGATTTTACAAAGTTCATCTTGCTTTTTGTGATTACTTTTTCTTCTTAAAAGTGAGTTGAACAAGAAGGAAACATGCTGTAGTTAAAAAGGGTGAAAAAGAAGAGTACAGTGTTACTTTTTTGCAGCAATATTCTTCCCTGATTTTTCGATGGTATCAAAAATGTGAAATACGAGTGGTCCAAAAAAAATCTTTAAATTCTAGAAGCGTGCACAAAAAAATAAAAGAATCAACTCAGTACCAAAATCAAATTTTTGTCAAAGTTCAGATTGTGTTTATTGAGTTCTTTTCCACAGTTTTAATAACAACACTTTAAAATATAGTCTTCAATTCTCCAACAGTAGAAGTAGAAGATATTAAATTTAGAAATTGCCCATTTCAATTCTAACCATGGTGTGCTGTTTGCCCTCACAACCTGTGATCAGCAATATATGATACATGTACACATAATAATATTCCTTTATTCCATCCTAAAGAAGCCCTAAAAATTAAATTTGACAATGCTAAAATGTTGATCTCAAATATGTTAGTGAAGAAAAACTACTCTGCTATCACAAGTCATGCCACCCAAAAAATAAGTGCACCAATTATCACAGATTTACTGAGAAAAGTGTAGGTCTACCAGATGCTTCAAGAAAGACAACAAAAGCACCATTAATGTATTCTGTGTATTCAGACATAATACACAGATTGCTTACTTCAGGTATAATATTTCTCTTAACCCTGTCCATATGCCCTGGGGTCATTTTGTAACCCCGGGGTTGTATTCTTCACATTTTAGAATACTTCTAGAGCGAAGATCTCTTTGAAACTTTCAGTATTTCTCAAAAAATTATTTTGACAGAATGTTATTACAAAGGGTACGGATCGGATTAACGAGTAAGTTTCATCTTTGGAAAGTGGCACAGAGTTCCCCACGTGTTATGGATACGATAGTAAAACACGACGCAGGGATAGGGTTAAACACAGTAGCCGTATGTCAGTATTTTGTTGGAGTGGATGCAATCCTGAGGCTGGCTGATATTAGGTACCAAAAGCCACCCGGATCCTGCTTTCATGGCAAATCTATTATCAGTAATATCAGGGCTGCCCATCATTACGAATTTAGCGGAATCGTTACGATTTTCATTCGATTTTACGAAAGTGAGATCGTAATACCCCCGACTCTGATTTTGAAAAATTTTTGCTACCTCAACCCACTGCCCCAACCTTCCCGGTGTATAAGGGGAGAAAATGATCACACCCAGATGTCTATGTCACATGCAGATTTCTAACTTAACCCTCTCTTTGCCCTGAATCGTTGCAGTCGTTCAGTGACACTTTGCCCTTAGAAAAACATCAGACTTCAGAAGTACTGATTTAGAAGTGCTTAAGCCAGGAGTAAGCAAACACTAGGCTGACAAAGTGTTCGAAAATTCCTGCCCTTTTGTGTTGTGGATGACATCCTGGGCCAATAGAAATGTTTTTTTTAAACGGGTCATTGTTTGAAACTTGATACAATTAGCTACGGAGGTGGATGTGTGGCATAACGTGCTGTGACGCTCTATCAGGATAAAAAGCTTGAAACGTATTCTGCAGAGAACTAAAGGTTCTATTTGTTTTTGCAAGCAGTACCCCCCCAACCCCCCACCGCCTCAACTTTCTTTTGTCTTAGCTTGACAATGAAGAGCCCGGCCATAGGGCCTATTTCTTTTTTCATCAAACATTTGTTTACGTTACATTTTCATTAATTTATGCTTTACGACTACCCCTGTCCTTGACACCCAGGGAAGAAGACTATCCATGACCATATTACGAATTTTTAACCCAGATTACTAAATTACTAATTTTATATATATATTTTGACTACTAATTTTACTAAAACATATGGCGGTGGGAGGGCAGACCTGTATTAATATTATACTACGGGTATACTATACTAAAAATACTATCAATTCTAGAGATCTACAATCTTATAATTTGAAGTTTTGTATAGTTTAATAAAGTCTTAAATTTCGAGTGTCATTTTATATTCACCCTGCTGAGTATTTATGGAGCTAAAACGGGTATTTTCAGACATTCTCCTTCTTTCAACCATTGGTGAATCCTGGAAAAGAGAGTGTTTCCTTTTACCAAGCTCTTTTCTCCCAGAGCATAAAATGCACTGACATATAGCAAGAAAAATGTTACAGTTCCAATTTGGATGGCCTGGTAGCACAAGCATTTTTTTGAATTTCTTAGAATTTCCTTTCTCTCCTTTTCACACTTTTGAAAAATGTATTAGTGCAAGTGTACCTTCAGTGTGCTTGAGAATGTGGATGTTTGTGGGTGTGTGTGGGGGGGGGAGGTGCAAGAGAGTGTGTAAATATCATATGTGTTGAGACGGAGGGATACTGTTCAGTCGAGGGAATACTTCACAAACCAAGTCACAAAGTACTACATTGTATTTCACAATTAATCTAATGAAGTTACACATTGCTCTCATTTAGAACATGCAATCCAGCAAATAACATACCATACCCTGTACCTGCCTGAAAAGATTCAGTGCTGCGAAACCTTTACTCTAACAACATATATATGTTGAGTAAGTCACTTTAATAATTATTACGTGTATTGAAAGAAAAGGGCAAAAAGCAGAGTTCCAAAGAATGTTGTCATGTCCTTATGATATTATATAAGAATATATATAAATTAATCTTACTCCAAATGCCCACAACATGGTGCATATACAAGGACGATTGCAAGTTAGGGTATTTGATGAACGACACTATTCTTACAATTTGGCCATGCAAATTTACAAGGATGGATCATAAATTGTAATAACATAAATATCATGTTGAAAATCTTGAGTTTATGCATTATAAAAACATGGAAATCAAACTTAATTAACACCTCTTTCACATCCCTTCCATTTATGTATCTGTCCCTGTCGTTTTATGCAAAAAAAATTCTATTATGCAAACTGAGCCCAAAAATGTGAAATTATGCGATTCTGTTACTGTAATTTTAATAAAGAATGATAAAGTAGGAAAATAATCAGAAATTATGCAAAAAATGATCAAATTTTGCTAAATTATGCGGGGTGCATAAAACCACGAGGACAGATGTATAGCCTAACAGAAAAACACATCAATCCCGGTCTAGATCTACTTACTAATATAAATTTTATATATAGATATATACACCATGATCTCCCTTCTCGCCAACCCCCCACCCCCACCCCCCCAACAATACAGCAGTAAACATATAACCTCAACAAAACCAATTGAAAAGTGACGAAAAAGATCATAAATAAAGAAAAGTTTGTTAAATTCAGCTTGAGACATAATACATATATATCCAACCAAAAACTTGCCAAACAAACTGTCTACATAAAAAAAAAGTAAAAGAAGAATGATTAATGATCAAGCAAAATTTTAAATGAATAAAAGCATAATTTTTTTGATATACAGACAGTATTCAAATTTTTCGTACACTACACTATTAAAAATCTTTGAAAACATATAAACAGGGGAATCCACACTGATGAAATCTGCAGGATCACCGTCAAATTTTCTTCACATTAGACTTTAGAGAGGTTGCTCAAAGCGTTGTTTAAAAAAAATTAAATCAGGAATTTTCTTTTCTTCTGGCATACTGCTGTGTTCACATTATCCATGTTTGGTTTACATAGTAGACTCCACTGTATATACGTGTTATTAATTAAATTCGGGGAAAAAAAAGATTTAAAATTAAGGCAAGATTAAACCCTGAAAAAAAAACTAAATTTAAAAAATGAAGGAAACAATCAAAAGCACCCTAAGCTAAAGCAACGTATTAAATTAAAGAAAGGAAAATTTGAAGGATACAAACCAACACATTAAATATGGTTTTAGACAGTATTTTTAATTTCGTCTATAAAAGAATTTTACTTTTGAGCAGAGAGCTTCTCTTGCAAAAAATCGAAAGCACCTCATCTGGGTCGTAAGGCCGTCCATTAAAAAAACCAACAACCCAAAGCCCAACGAACTGCCTATTAGGTCAGCTTGTATTTATTTAGAATGACTTTTGAGTGTAGGCCTATATATATATTCAGAATATTCTGTTGGGATTTGCAATTTTGAAACTAAGGCAATCTCCATTTGTCTTTTCAAATTACCATATAATATATTTATCTTTTTAAAAGTTGTAGTACTTTATCAAAGGGAACTGCTTCTTGGGCTGAAGCGCTCTTTTCTACCTTGCTAGTGGCTGTTAACACTTAGAGCACCCACAGCACATTCCCACTTTTAAATAAAATTTGGTCAGTAAAGTACAATTGACAATTTTGTCTTACATTCTTGGGTCTTGCGTCCAACCCAGACATCTATATATATTTCGATGGCTCTCACAACATAACCCTCCCCCCCCTCCCCCCACTAAATGAAACAAATTAAAATAAATTGTGCATCGTACTTTGGAAACAACCTGTATATCTGATCAAGTAAATGTTATTAGCAAAAAGTCCGGTTTTTTTTTTAGAGGGATGGTCAAGAGGAAGGTTACAAACATTGGTAATATTGGCAAGTCATTGCAGGAATGGATCATGAGTGACAGTTGTAAGCATTATCGAATGATAATAATATAATGGACCAAAAAATTATATCTGATAAACTGAAGACAACCTTCTTTCCCAAGCAAGTTTGTGCAAAGAAAAGATAATTACATGTTTATTGTATTGTATCACAATTTGATATCAATTTGTAAGCCTGCAGATCAAGTTATAATAAATATATTAAATAGGTATAACCAAAAACAAAGATTTCTTTCATAGCAAGCACACACAGACACAGGCATGCAAACACACCAAAATCAATGATTTAATACAATAACAAGGCCCACAACCATAACACTTTGTATGCATAAAATGCTGGTAGCAGGCATTCAACAGAAAGGGCAATAATTATTGATCCATGGACTGTTGTTTTCTGAGATGTGTGTTAAAAATGCATTTTTCCAAAGAATAACCACAAAAAGACAAGTAGACCTAAAGATATGCTCACATAATTATACTTTTCCCTCTGTGTTACGACTGATTGCCCTATAAACAAGGGTAAGCTGAAAAAAAAAATACACAAAGAAATAACCCATAGCTGTCGTAGAGTTCCATCTTTTTTTCTATGAGAAACAGAAATAAAAACTACTCAAAACTAAAACCTGCAGAGTTCATTTCAAAATAAGTCAAAATCATAAAAACACTGTCCAGAACATTTCAATAAACTACACTTTGTTTATTCTTCAAGGCATGTATAATTTAATGTATATTTCAGTTACCTTGCCTTCTGAAGGGTCTTCGTAAAATTTAGAGAGTGAAACAGAAAACGTGTCTACAAGTTATAAAAAAAAAAAAAGGTATATATGTATAAAAGTAAAAGTAAATATATCATGTTTGTCATCAACTTTATATGATTATGATGGTGAACGCCCTGAATACCATCACGATAAACGATATTTGACAACGTAAACTATGGTCCCGCACCTCCTTCCCGTCTGCCATCAGCAAGTATGTTTTTTGATCAGTCAGGTACCATATTGGAATTCCTAAATACATCAGTTAAGAGTGCACATTCTGTTCATTCAACAATCCCCGAAGATGCGCTGTATTGTGGCACTTTAAAAAAAAAGAAACATCACTTTAGTAATTCTGTTTTCATCATCTGAAACCTAAAAAGACAGGCAGCAGCATACTATTACTATGAACATGAAGATTTGTGTTCTTTATAGGTATGATAGTTTGAAATTTCCTGCAAAATAGCCTTTGTTCTTATACTGATCGTACATAATAATAGCCGCTACCGGTAGGCCTACTCTTTAAAGTTAAAGTTACATCAGTTTCCAGGTCTCTGCGGATGAGGGATTCTTCCAAGGGACAAAACTGCGAAAATTGTTACTTTCCACAGGAATGGACAGAGTCATCGCCCATATTTCAACAACCCGAGTATCGTACATAATGCTCTTTAGTATTATGCTGGATTCAAGGGTTATTGTGGTGGGTAAGCATGCAGGCATCTCTCTGACCGTCATATACTAGATACTCCTGGAAGGGCTTTTCATCCTCATCTCTTTCTCAAAAGAGTAAGTCAGTCTAAAGAATAAATAATCTTTCTTCATATTTGTTCTTGTTGCAGGTACTCATCTTCGGTTGAGCACTTTATTGTGCAACAGCTGCACAAAGGAACAACACATCCTTTTCTTTAAATGAAACAAATATTCAGCTGACATCAAGCTAAAATGACCAAATACAGACACTTTGTCAATAAGAAGAAAGGGCTTGGATGAACTCTTTCTAGACATGTCAAGAGACGAAACGGACTCTACAGACAATTGTTAATTATATATTTCACTCTCGTGACAGCAATTGATTTAATTCTATGATTATATTATATTATAGACTAGTACTATGCTCATGAGGAAATTAAGAGGCAAAACATTAGCTCATAAACATTTTTAAAACCCAGTTTTATTCGTGTTTGTCAAGTAAACATCAAGACTATTATCTATAACAATTTTCCTCATACGAGTGTAGCTTTCTTCAAACCAACATTCATTTCACAACTTAACAGACCTTTAAGCTTGATACACAATTGTGACAATCAATGTTCCTGCTGTCAAATGGTTTATTGCAGTAGTACAACAACGCTAATGATCTGAGATGAAAGGAAAGGAAATTTTTTTTGGCCGAAAAAGAATTAGCAAAAGTGGCGGGTTAGAGCACAGGTGTCAATCTCAAGGCCTGGTGGCCAGATCCAGCCTGCCGAACAATTAATCTGACCCATGACAGAATTATTGGCAGCCCATCCTGAGAATTTTTATAATGCAGAACCCTACTCCGCTGCAAACACAAACTACCTTATCGCCAGGAAAAGATGCCAAACATCCAGCTCTGATAATCTGGCATTAGAGCAGAAATTAAGCCTTGATTTAAAAAATTTTTTTTCCAACTTTTATCAGTTTTAATTCAGATTACCAGTATTGTTTTTAAAAAGATTTGGTTTTCCACTGCCCAGTGAATGTAGATCCAGTTCGATCCGCAACCTTAAGGATTGAAAATCTGTGTTGTATAGGTTTTGATCTTCTTTGTTTTATTTATTCACAAAATTTGAAGATTGGTGTACAAATAATGGAGAAATAAACTCCTTGTTTTCTAAATTTTCGTCATTTTGCGACCCTCATTTTTCCTCTGTTGGCTAAGGACTGTAATAAAATGTGAGTTTTGAATCTTTTTTCTCAGTCTGTGTCCCACCAAATGTGTCATTTCAATGTTAAGTCAAATTTGTAAGGGCTTTATTTCAAGACAGGGATACCAGCAGCATGTAATATTCCCTTAAGCGTGATTTGAGTTTGGCTCCCTGTGCCACTGACTTGGACACCCCTGTATCAGTATCGAAGTGTTAAGAGTTTTAGAGTCGACGTCCGTCTCTCTGCAGGCGCAGTGATGAGGGCATGTCTGAGTAGGAGTTGGATGGGTTGTTGCTGGCAAAATCCGAGGACTTGCGACCGTTCCTTTCATCACGTCGATCCAACCTGGTTTTGGGAAGGGGGGTGGGGGTGGGGGTGGAGTTGAAAAATGGTTAAAATGAATTTTCAATTTCTAGTTTAAAAAAAAAGAAAATTCTACTTTTTTGAGGGGGAGGGGTGGGGGAAGGGGGAATGGATGGATTAAAGCAAGATTCGCGTTTGGTGTTTGGGTTTGGATTTGGATTTGAGTCACGTTAATGAAAACAAGTGCACATGCGCATGCGCTCGCGTGCGCACATACACACACACACACGCATGAACACACACATGTAGGCATGAACGCCTTCCCCTCCCCACACACACACACCTATTATATATCTCACCTATTATTACAGTTGCTATCCCCTTGAGCGCCGTCTCTCTCTCTCTCTCTCTCTCTCTTAACCTCACCTATTATTTCAGTTGCTATCCCCCTAGGAGCGTCCAAAAGGCTTTGACAATGCCCTGTCCATGGCACCCCCTTGTATATGCCCCCACCCCTCTCTCTCTTTCTCTCTCTCTCTCTTTCTCTTTATTTCTCTTTCTCTCTCTCTTCTGCTCTCTCTCTCTCTTCTGCTCTCTCTCTCTCTTTCTCTTCTCTCCTCTCTCTCTCTCTCTTTCTCACTTCTTTCTCCCACTCTCTCTCTCTTTCTCTTATACCTCACCAATTATCACAGTTACTATCTCACTGAGAGCATCCAAAGGCCCTGAAAGCACCGTGTCCATGACACCCCTGTCTATGCCCCGCCCCTCTCTCTCTCTCT